AATCTGAGGAAAATGAAAGAAAAGTATTAAGAAAATATTCATGTAACTTTAAAAAAGAAGAGCTAGAAATATAGAGAATTTGCATTTCAATTACGAGATTTCTCGTCAAATATCAAGATTTTTGTACGCTCTAATCAAACAGAAGTTATTTACATGATTAATCGACTATGTCACAAAAAAATATTTAAGGATTTAAAAAAATTCTTTTTTCTAAAAATAAAATGAAGGGCTGGCCCGCCCTAGTAGGGGTGGGCATCGGCCGGTTCGGTTAGGTTTTGTAGAAGCTCGGTTCGATTTATTCAGTTTTCGGTTTGTGATTTTAATAACCAAAATCGAATCATAATAACATTGGTTCGGTTCGGGTTTATTGTGTTTGGTTTTTCGGTTTCAAGCTATGGCAAAAAGTATGAAACAACGAAAATATATTACTTGTTGAGAGAAAAGGACAAAGAAATAAGAAATCCCATCAAATACACTAAAAAGATAAGAATCTTTATGCAAGAAAAATCATTTTTCTTGATTACAAAAGCAGAAAAGAAAATAGTATTAGCACTATCTTGCGTTATGCTTGCATTGGTGCAAAATATTAAAGCTAAACTATAAAAAGTCAAAATCTTCCTAGTTTAAATCTTTGTCTTAACAGAAATTAATCTGGCATGATTCGAATTTTTAAGTCGTTTGAAAAGTAACAAATTAATTTTTATTTGAAAAGTTCCATTACTCAAATTATTCAAATTTCCTGCATTACATGGTTGTGTAAAGAATATGTCGATCTTGGATAAGGTGACAGTCTATAGGTCCGACACACCCAATCGATTAAGCAGAACAATGAGAATATTAACCATTTGATATCAGATATAGAATGAATTTTATATAAAGGTAAGATATCAAGAGTAATTAACCTGTTTCCCAGGCCTCATTATAAGTACAGGCCCGCCTAATCGGTCATGGAAATTGGCATTGGAAACTTTGCTAGTTTCACCTTCATGCTGATAAAGTGCGACATTATTTCAGAATCATTTTCCAAGATTATACCAAGTGACAAAAGCTATGTCGACGAAAAAAAAATAAACAAACAAAAACGAAGTTGCTCCAGTAGTAATACTTAGTGCAGCAATAATTCAGTTTTTCGGTTTAACCGAAAACCAAATCGTTAACATCGATTACCGAACTTTTTAAAACTATAAACCGCAAACCGATCAAATAAATCGAATAAACTAAAATTTTCGGTCCGGTCGATTTTTTCGGTTCAATCGGTATTATGCCTACCTCTACGCCCTAGCCCACGGCCCTCTTAGGACTGGGTTGGGATGATCATTTTAAGGCCCATTCATATGGAGGGCCGGCCCGACCTACCCCACCAAATTTAAAAGCCCACAAAGATTGTGTTGGGCTGGCCCGTTTTGACAGTTCTATGGATAAGCCCAACTTATTACTTTTTGGTTTTTAGGCTATTTTCTATTGACCAATAATTTTACATTTATATCCCTTATAACTTTTTAACATTCCAGCATTACCCTCAATTACAAAAGCCCTAAATTAACTTCTTCGCCTTCTTCATTCTTTCTCCACAACCGTCTTCTTTCTTTTTTATCTTTTCTCCATCAATTCAGGCTTTACCATCTTTTATGCCTTCAACTAGTTTTTTTTGTTTTTGTTTTTTTCACCCAATTTTCGGTACCCGCATAGCTAGTTAGCCTAATCACAATGACGATAATTTATTTTAATTGCTCAGTTACTGTTTGTCGTTATTATTTTTCAATTATTTGTTAATTTTTGTGGTATAATAACAAAAAACAGCAAGTCTAAATGCAAAAGCTCCCTTTCTTTGTTCAACTATTTCAATTTTTTTTATCTTCGTGCCTACAAAATACTTATGAATTGTTGTAACCCATCAAAAAAAGATACTTCTGAATTGCTGTGACATCGATTTAATTTGGTGCCATCTCCTCGTTTTTTTTTCCAATGTTTCACTCTAGTGACATAAACTTAGAATGGGTACTATATTATTTTTATTTGATTATAGGCAAAAATGTTCGAAGCGAAAAAATAATTAATATATCAAGGTAGATTTAAAATTTTTTAACCAGGGAGATAGAGATAATTTGAGGACATTCATAACTTGAATTAATTAAAATATGAAGTAATAAGTAGATAATACACAAAAATATTATATATATATATATATATATATATATATATATATATATATATATATATATATATATATATATATATATATAATACAAAGCAATAAAAGTCATTTATTACAACACAATAATATAAAATAGCAGATAATATAATAAAGAACAGTAAAAAATAAAAATATTATTCGATTATGATGTGCTTACTTTCATTTCATATAGATTTTTTTATTAGATATATTATAGTGAAAATCAAAATGGAAGTTGAATTTTTATTTTTCAAAGCAATATGATCTAATATGCTCAAATAACAGAGATCGCAATTTGAAATGATTATTATTATTTAATACGATCCGCGCATCATGCGAGTTTTAATATTAGTAAGTTTAAAAATAATTTATGTATTTATAAAAAACACTTATGTAATCACGTATGTAATGATTATTATGCACGTGTGTATGTTTAGACACGCACGTGCATTTGCAAAACCTTGTCTTTGAAATGACACAACACCCTTAAGTGAATTTTAATGACGAAAAACAGGCTAAGCTTTTCTATTAAATAATAAATATAAAAATGATTTCCTCAGTCCAATTATATATTGCCTATATTTTCCCAGTGTCCTGGAGTTTATATTTGGTTATTTTTTAAATATCAGGTGATTGTTGAAAGTTAAGTAATTATGGCATTGTTATGCCATGTTTAAGAATGCCTTGGTTGCTATGCAGATTGGAAATTGTTGTCACTGTGGTTTACTATTACTCTCTCCGTTTCAATTTATATGAGTTAGTTGATTAGGTACGGAGTTTACTAAAAAAAAAAAAGAAGACTTGAAATTTGTGATTTTTAATGCTTAAGGAGTAAAAACTTTATGGGGCCATGACATTTGTGTGGTTATAAAAACTTCTCATTAAGGTTAAAATGAGTAAAATGAAGAGTTTAAAGTTTAATTATTTCCAAATTTAGAAATGTGTCATTTATTTTGGAACACACTAAAAAGGAAAGCACCTCATCAAATTTGAAACGGAGGGAATATCAATTATCATCATAAACTTCATAAAATACCTAAAAACCTAACCAAACCAACAACAACCAAATGGATAGTTTATATATTATCTGGTTTGGTTTGATTTTAAAATTTTAAGTATTAATTATATTATAGCATGTTTGGCCAAACTAGAAAAATCAGCTTATTTTGAGAAGTGCTTTTTTCAAAAGTATTTTTGGTGAAAAATAATTTGTATTTGACTAATTAATTTGAAAAACACTTCTAAACAACAATTTGTGTTTGACCAAACTTTTTAAAAATGATTCTAAGTGTAATTTTGTTTTTCAAAAAGTGATTCTCAAAAAAGTGTTTCTCGAAAATAACTATTTTTTTCTGTTTCTCCCAAACAACTTCTGCTTCTTCTCAAAAATACTTTTTTTCTTCTAAAAATTTGGTCAAACACTTTACTTTGAAAAAAAAAATTACTTTTCAACGTGAAAAAACTTGACCAAGCAGACTATTAGTTTGATTTTGATTTTAATAAAAAATTGACCAAACCAAATTATGAACACCTTAGTTAATCCCACGAAATATCTCAACCTTTATAGTAACTACTCCCTCCGTTTCATATTAAATGAGGTAGTTTGACTGCGCACGGAGTTTAATAAACTACTCCCTCCGTTTCATATTAAATGAGGTAGTTTGACTGCGCACGGAGTTTAATAAACTACTCCCTCCGTTTCATATTAAATGAGGTAGTTTGACTGCGCACGGCATTTAATAAACAAGAGTATACTATTGCCAAATCACCTTAAGTACCAATTTTACCCTTAAGGGCACACATACTAGCTTTTTAATGAAAAATCAAATGTGACCCACATGTCCCATCTTCTCTGCCACATTAACTAAGTTAAAAAACTTTTCCTTCAATTCTCATAGTCTACTGGCTACTCTAGACTACCAGTTACTGGCTATTCTCAGAAATTTCTTCAATTCTTATGGCGCCAAAAAAAATGTCTTTCATTCTTGTGGCGCCAAAACTTCTCCTTTTTAATTAGGTGATAAGCTTATCTATTTATGTAGAGATATTTGAGATTATTCACTTATGCTTTCAGTGTTTCTCTTCATAATCCTATTTTTCTCTCCTAATGTTTCTAATTTTCTCTTACATTCTGATTATTTCCTTTAATCCTATTTTATCTAGCATATGAGATTAATTATACACAAATGAGTGACTCGCAATTAGACTCAACTATTAGAAAAAGAAGACTAGAAATTGAGGAGCGTCATGCTATTGCCGAATGACTTTTGAAGGAAAGCAAAAATGGAGTTGTTAAATATGGGTCTTTAAAACAAGCTGTGATTTTATTTAATACTTCAAGGAGTACTGTGGAAAGAATTTGGCAACAGACAATTAAGTGTCGCTAACGGTACTCCATTAAATGTGTCTCCGCATATTGTAGGCAGAGTTGGGAGAAAACAAATTCATGTCGACATTAATATGGTAAAAGAAATTCCTCTTTGTCGCCGAACAAATATTCGATCTTTGGCACGTGCTATGGATATGTCAACGTCAACTATTTTTCGACGCATCAAAGAAGGAGCTATAAGGCCACATACCAATGCCATAAAGCCTCATTTGACGGAGGAAAATAAGAAGGCAAGACTTCAATTTTGTCTATCAATGATTGAGTCTGGTACGTTAAATTCAAATCCTATGTTTTCAGACATGTTTAATTCTGTTCATATAGATGAAAAATGGTTCTTTTTGTCGAAAAAATCTGAAAAGTTTTATCTTCTCCCTGAAGAACAAGAGCCAAACCCATATAGATTGTAAAAGTAAAAATTTCATAACAAAAGTTATGTTTATGGATGCTGTTGCGCGCCCTAAGCTTGCTGAACATGGAACTGAGTTTTTTTCAGGAAAAATAGGAATATTTCCTTTTGTGTTCAAGGAACCCGCCAAAAGGAATAGCAAAAACAGAGTAGCTGGAACTTTAGAAACAAAGCCTATTTTATCAGTCACTAAAGATGTCACTAGGACTTGTTTAATTGAAAAAGTTCTTCCGGCGATTCGATCAAAATGGCCACTTTCGCAGTCAAATGCTCCTATTTTTATCCAACAAGATAATGCGAGACCTCACCTTAGTGTTAATGGCTTGCAATTTACCGAAGCTGCTCGGCAAGATGGATTTGATATTAGGTTTTGCTTTCAACCTCCTAACAGTCTAGATTTAAATGTTTTGGACCTCAGAGTCTTCAGAGCTATTCAATCTCTTCAACATCAAATGGCTCCTAAAACTATTGACGAGTTAGTAAATGCAGTCGAGAAATCGTTTAATGACATAAAAGTTGAACGACTGAATCACGTGTTTCTGACTCTACAATCTTGCATGGTTGAAGTGATGAAAGATAAAGGTGGAAACAATTACAAAGTGCCACATATGAAAAAAGACATGCTAGAACGACATGGAACTCTTCCTACTCAAGTTTGTTGCGACATTGGTATTGTTAATGAAACTCTAGCTCTGCTTTAAGCTAGAGTTATAGATCAAGGTTATCTGCAACTTATTTTTGTAAAGTTCGTCACGACAGTATTTGTGATCGATTATCTTGTGACTTTGGTCAAATAATGTCGCTTTATAACTTCAATCAATGTGTCTTTATTGATAATTTGGGATAAAAAATGAAGCACGTAAGTAAGTTACATATGGCTCGCAATATTCCAATTTCTTGGAAAATAATTGTAACTGCAGCATAATGGAAGAAGCCGCGTGCCAACAAGCATGGAAAAGATCTGACACTAATGGCTTCACTTTTTCAACATTTGACTTTTAAACCTAACCTAATAAAGCTATATCACAAACTATTTACTCTTAAATTCAATGGGTCCGTATCAGATTTTTGAAGGAGGGATGGTAAGGGTAATATTGGTATCTCAAAAGTAAAGGATTACCAAATTTAGAAATGTGTCAATTCTTTTTGAAACAGACTAAAAAGAAAAGTACCTATCTAATATGAAACGGAGAGAGTATTAACTAATTCTAAAATTGACCAAAATAGTCTTGACTAATTGGTCCTTCGATTGGACTTTAAGCTTGACCATTGTCCCTTTAAATCACTCTAATGACTTGATATCGACTTGGAAGACCCCTTGCATTGGGTGCTAATGTGTGCATTGTCAAACACTAGCAAAATATTTCATATCAAGGCTAAATGAACCAAATTCTCAAGCTTGTATTCAAATTTAACACTTTTATGATATAGCCAAGTATCATAATAGGTAACAAAGAAAAACTTCCCAACATAAAATTTATGTACTCGTCTACAGAAAGAATATAACCAAGGGGTGAATCAAAGTAACAAATATTTCTCAATTATGAGTTATATGAAGCACAATTGATTATATTATTAAATGAAACCAAATCACTCTTAATTTCTAAACTTGGATGAATTCCCTTAAGCACAAGATAAAAAGGATCATTAAAATCAAGAAAATTTCTCTTCTGAGCTATCAACTAGTCCACCCTCTTGTGGGTACTTTACAAAACTCAACACAAAATTCTTCTAATATCATCACAAAACAACATATCCCCGGGATCAAACACAAACTTTAATCTCTAAAACCCCACAAATATTGTATGTAAAATTCCATTTAACTCAAAGTTCATTATTACAGAATCATGACTTCCCCCGACATAATACATTCCATAAGTATCATGGATAAAAACAATTTTACCTCATTGGGTCTAAATAAACTAAAAACAAGCACTATCCAAGTGAGCACCCAAGGATGTAGCCTAGTTCTCAATGAAGTGGGTTGAGAACTATGGGGTCTTAGGTTCAAATACCCAACGAAACCGAATTCACTAGGTGATTTCCCCATCTATTCGAGTCTTGGTGGACAGAGTTACATGGTACCTATTGTTGATGGAAGGTAGTAGGTATCCCGTAGAGTTAGTCGAGGTGTGCAAGCTAGCCCGAACACCACGGTTATCAAAAAGAAAAAATAAGTACTATCCAAGTGTACATACCATTCTTACATTTAGGACAAATAAAAACCTGTTGACTTAAAAGGGTACCAAATGGTAGTTCAAGGCTCTCATTCTTCTCATGAACTTTATTTTTTGTTGGTTCTTCACAAAATAATCAATAATGTTAGAAGCTTTATGCTCAAAATAGCCAATTAAGGGATCAAAAGAAATATTCTTATCCTTTTTCATAGAAATATTTGCAAAATTTTACAAGAATGTTCTTTTAAAGTTAGGAATTATTAAGTAAAGGAGTTAATATATCAATTCTAGCTTCAAATACTTTTTGCTCATAATTTTCCCAACTTAAAAAATCTCCTTATAATCCTCTACCATAATTTCATCCTCTAACATGATTCCACATAAAAGATTGCTATACAACTTAAAGATTTGACCAGTGTTGTGAAGAGCGTGAAGCGAGGAAAAGTGACAAGCCCCTTTTCGCTTAAATCGTGAAGCGAGAAGCGAAACGCTCGCTTTTTTAAAGTAAAACGGAATTTAAAAAAAATATTAAAATAACAAGTTATTGCATTATTTTTCAGGTTAGTATATCTGACTTCCTAGTTTTGAACTTAAGTCCTGTGCACCGGCAATGTATAGGCTTTTTATAACATCATATTAAATTGACCTATAGTAACATATAACTCTTACACCCCCTTTTGTTATCCTTGAAGTTTTTCTATGCATGTTTTTTGATATAAAAAATCTCATTATATATATATATATATATATATATATATATATTATTTGTTTTAGCAGGGACAAGGCACTTAAACAATGATATCGTTCAAGGAGCAATTACAAGGCACTTAATATTTTATCTTTTTTGGGATATCTATATGCGTAAAATTACAATGAACAATGAAGTGTCGTGTAGTATTATGTAATTGACTTTTTTAGTAATAAAAATATTTATAATATTCAGTTTGAGAAATTCTTTTAGTGTTTTTTAAATATTATTGGTTGCTTTTAATATTGGTAGTCAATTGATGTGAATATACAGTCATTAAATTTAGAGAATTCGGTTCCTACCGGAAATATATATAACTTTGGTAATTATATAGTTTTAGAGAAGATAGGTCTTAGTGGCGACATTATTTTGTCACATAATATTAGTAATTGTTGCAATGTTAATTATTGTGTCTTTCATGGTTTATTATATTGTAGCGACACGAGTCGCTACTAACAGTTATTTATAGTGGCGACATTAACTTGCCACTACAAAAATGTTTTAGCAGCGATAGTTGTCGCCGTTAAAGATGAATAGTAGTGGCAACCCAGCTAAATTTTTATTCTTGTGGAATCATTTTTGTAGCGAGTTTTTTCACCTTTTGTGGCAACTATATCGCTGCAAAATATACGCTTTTAGAGACGATCTTTGGTGTCGCCACAAATACCTTTCAGTTTTGGTTTTGTTTGTAGAAACACAAATGTCGCCACTGATAACATGTAGCAGCGACTTTCAGGGATTTTGTAGCGACTTTGGTCGCCGCAATAATGTTGTTTTCTTGTAATGTACGTCCTTGTCATTTATGTAGTGTTGTCTATTATCCAGAATATAATACTTGAAAAGTCCTTGTATAATATAACTACAACAATAAATATAATGTAATCCCACATGTGGGATTTAGAAAAGATAATATATACGGAGACCTTATAACTATTGTGTGAAGGTATATATGTTGTTTTCGATAGACCTTCAACTCAAGGAAAGATGAAAACAAATCAGCAACAACAAAAAGATACTAAGATAATTGAAACAAAAAAATCAACAAGAAATAATAAAAATCAAAGGATAAGAAAATACAAGAATAATACAAATACAACTGGTATGGAAAATAAATACGCTGGACTACCTACTAATCTTCTAACCTAATTCTCGACCTTCACACCTCATATCAAGGGTTATATTCTTGGTAAGCTGAAGCTATGTCATATCTTGCCTAATCATCTCTCTCCAATACTTCTTTGACTGACCGACATTACAGCCAATGCAATATCCTCAGTCTAACCACCACTATTTAGTACTTACCTTTAAGTTTAGATAGCACATTCGTATCGCATGAGACACCATAAGCGAGCATCCATTTCATCCATCCCGCTCCAATACGGTGTGTGACATCCTCTACAATCTCCCAATTACCTTGAACTACTAACCCAAGATATTTGAAACTCCCTTTCTTGGGGATAAATTGTTTATCAAGCCCCACTTTCACATCAGCTTCATGAGATACATTACTAAACTTGCACTCCACATATTTCGTCTTAGTCCTGCTCAACCTGAAACCTTTAAACTCCAAGGTCTATCTCCAAATATCTAACCTAGTCAATTGTGTAATGATTTGAAATATTGATTGGGTAAAATCTATATATATGTATATATATAATTAAAGGAATAGAGAAGGTCAATTTGCACCTCATAGTCCTAGAAACTTATTTCCCCCGGGACTCATAGCCTATTTGTTTGTGCTTCTAAAATTTGCTGAAAAATGCTTTTCAAACAAGTACTTTTGGTGAGAACTAGCTTTTATTTGGCTAATCAATTTGAAAAATACTTTTGAGCAATAATTATTGTTTGGCTAAGTTCTTAAAAAGTACTTCTAAGTATATCTATCTCAAAAGTACTTTTCAAAAAAACACTTTTGGAAGAAGCTATTTTTTTCTTTTTCTCAAAAACTGTTTCTGCTTCTACTCAAAAGCAGTTTTTCCTTCTAAAAGCTTGGCCAAACACCTTAACTTTGAAAAAAATACTTTTGACAAAAAAGAAACACGACCAAAGAGGCTATTAGGGTCTTCGCTGAAGTTTGCTTCACCACCGTACTAAGGGAAAATGTTAAAATATGAAAAAAGTATAATTGGGGAAAATGTTAAAAATTGAAGGAAAAAAAAATAAATAGGTTTCTTGGACTATGAAAGATGCTAAGTCATAGTAATTAGAAAAATTAGTTCAATTTTTAATTCTCTCCACCTGAAAATTTAAGTTGTGATTTGATTTGGCATAACCCTTTAAAAGAACATTTAAAATTTGAATTTTCTAATTTGATTCGGTGTAATCGTTACGAAGAGTGTAAGATTTAAATAAAGTACAAGTTTAGCAAAACCATAAATCACATTTGTGGATTTGGTGAGTTATATAATGCATACAACCGTCGGGAGAATGTAAAGTCTTTTTGTTTTTGGAAAACTAAAAAATGTGAAATACAATCTTTGTGTTCAATGAAGAACTTATCATCACGAAGAAAAAACTCAGTCACTTTCGAACTTTAACAAAATCTTTAAATAAAGGAAGGAAAGTGAAAAGAACCTTAATTTTGTAAATGATGTCATGCATGCCTCCTACAAGCATAGGCGAATCTAAGATTTTAATTTTATTGGTTCAACATTTAATATTTTTAGCAAAAAACTTATTATATTTTAAAGTTATGGGCTCATATCTACTATTTATTTTAAATTTAGTGATTTTTATATATAAATTTATGCTCTGCGTCGAAAGTATTGGGTTCAGT